AGGAGGAGTCTGAGAGGGTACACTTGGCCTGAAACCTCTTACTGATTTGTGCATGGGGAAGTATTTGGGGTTCAAATGTGATGTGTCCTGTACTGATATTCTAGCACCCAAAAGAGAGGTTCACATTACTGGGGAAAGACTGCCTGGCCAAGTGTTTCAAGCGAGTCTTTCTCTCCCTCTCCCTTTGCAGAAGCTGCGCCAGGACATTCTCCTTATGAAACCGTACTTCATCACCTGCAAGGAAGCTATGGAGGCTCGGCTCTTGCTCCAGGTCAGGAGGAGAGATGGACCAGCCAGCTGCAGTTTTCTCTTATGTCCATTTTAAGCCCAGTATAGGGGACCACTTACAAAACGTTGGGCGTTTGTGTGCTCAGCCTCCCTTACACATAAAACCAGGTGGCTTGAGGATTTCATTTATTTGTTCATAGGCATATTTCTAAATGGCCTGCTCATTCAAAAAATATCTATCAGTTTTATATGATAAATTTCAAAAAAAAAAATGGTAAAGCCTTAAAATACAGAACAAATGACCAAAACTGAACCACGTTAACTCTAAAAATGCTTGTGGAAGTGGGGATGTTTTCAGCAGGCATTCAAGGGACAACCATTAAACAGAGGAGCCTTTGAGTTCTTTACTCATACCCCACTTGCAGTTCCACGCTTTGTCTTGCCCTCTGCCCCAAATTCATCCGGTTGTGGTGGACAGTAAGCAATCGTGCTCTCCCTTCAGCTGCAGGATCGGCAACACTTTGTGGAGAATGATGACATGTACTCGCTGCAAGACCTGGTTGACATCAATGCTGGGCGCCTCAGCTGCTCCCTTACTGAGACCCACACGCTCTTTGCCAAACACATCAAACTGGATTGTGAGGTGAGGGTTCAGCAATTGGCATTCAGAAGTACTGGTATTGCTTTATACTGTGCATTATTAAACTCTGAAATTTACTGTTACAGGATAATGGCAATGGCCACCAATTGAAGTAGTGATAAAAGGGAATCGGGCAAATTCACGGACAAAGCTAGCAGTGGCCAGTAGCAGGATGGTCAGGTGCAAAAAGGGTCATCCCTCAGCAGTTTTAACATTATGTAGGACAACATACATCTCCTAAAATGCCCAGTGAAGGAGCCCTGTCCTCTTTCACTTCAAGCCACATCTAGCTACTAGTCAGGGTGGCTGTATGCTATCTCCAGGATCAGAGGAACCATGCCTCTGAAGGCATGTTGCTGAGGAACAAGAGTTGGAGAGTGCTGTGTTGTGCTCCTGACCTGTCTGTGGGCTTCCTTGAGCCATCTGATTGGCTTCTAGTAAAAGGGGTGCTAGACTAGTTACACTTTTGGTCTGATCCAGCAGAGCTGTTCTTATGTTACTGTGATTCTTAGCAATTGACAGGCCCGTTTTCCACCTCCGTGAATTTGTCTAAACCCTCTTTAAAGCCCTCTAAACTGATAGCCATCATCACCCATCTTGTGGTAGTGGAGTTCCTTACAGCATATGCTGTATGATGGTGGACCATATTTCGTCTGCCCTGAATCAATTTCATCACATGATCCCAAGTTCTAATATTCTGAGACATTGTACTGACCTTTGGCATTACACAAAGGAAAACTTGTTTCTTTCATGTATAATCTTATAATTTTATTTATTTAAGAATATTTATAATTTGCTTAATCTTAAAGACAAATATTTACCCCCACCATGTCTTCTTCATTCAATGCAGCACTTTATAGTACATGGTATTTCCCCAGAATATGTTGCTGTTGGGGAAAATGCAGTTCCTCCTCTGCAAGATTAGCACACCCATGTGGTTGTATGAGTGTTGTAGGCACCCAGTAGCAAGCAGAAAACCTCTATGGTGTCATTATGAGCCCAGCAACTCCATCCAACCTCTGTTCACTGGCAGTGGAAGTAGAAGCTGAAACTGACTCACTGGCCTTCCTTTCTCATTCTTACAGCGGTGCCAAGCAAAGGGTTTTGTGTGTGAGCTCTGCAAAGAGGGGGATGTGCTCTTTCCCTTTGACAGCCACACCTCCATGTGCATGGACTGCTCAGCTGTCTTCCACAGGTGAGCCCCAGAGCTATGATCTGGCTTGCGCCAGTGCTAAATGTGTGGGTTCAAGTCAGGCAGTGAGAGGTAGCTCCTGCCACTCATCCAGATGAACGAAACTGACAAGCCTTTGTGTCTCCTTTTACAGGGACTGTTATTATGACAACTCCACAACGTGTCCCAAGTGTGCTCGGCTAAATCTGAGAAAGCAGTCGCTGCTCAGAGACCCCAGTGTGGAGCTGCAGGCTTAGAGGTGCCTTTCCTTGGCTGGAGGGAGATGTCACAAAGGAACATGGCAAGCCCAGGATGCTGGGTTTCACCTGTACTTGCCTGGGAGGAGATCAGCCCAGATTGGCAAGGAGGAGAACCTTCATAGCAGTGCAGCTGGGAATTGCTTCTCTAAAGGTTCCGGGAAATGATGCTGCAGGACAAGTGTCCTAGACTCTCTCTCACTAGAAGAGCCTTTGAGGCTGCTCAGCACATCAGACTTTGCAGACTCTCCCTACCTGAAATCATGAGACTGGGTTCAAGAGAGCACTGTCCTCACAGGACACAGGTTTTTGGGTGTGAGGAGGACAAGCTTTTGGGCCAGGGTTTATTCATGGCAGATCCTGCTAGGCTGAAAAACATTGGAGAAAGGGCCGACTGACTGTGATGCGAGACATTTGCTAGCAGCTTTCCTCGGCTGTTGCTTATTAACGCCACCGCTCTATGCTGGCACATGACATTGAGAGTGCCCCTGTGGCTTCCGTTTTGACAGTGATACATCAGCATGGAAGATGATCCGAGGCAGGTGGGCTTAGGGATGATATGATATCTAGAATTCATTCCCTCTAACTTAGATGCATAAAGTATCTGTGCTGGAGATTGGGTATGTGGGAAAGAAGAGATGATGCCCTTTTCTCCTTCACCATCCCCATGGCTTTTGGTGATGGCAACACAAGGACTGGATGGATGAAGAACTTGGAACAGGCCCCAACAGCCAGTGAGACGAGACTGGAGTGGGGCACTTCAACCACAGTAATTTATCACGAGCACTAAAATCACTTTAAATAAAGCCGTGTGAAACTCTGGCTGCGTTACTATGATTTTAAGTTCTGCCTGCACAGACCTTGTCTTCTGCAAATATGTTACCTTCCTTTTCCTCTCCTGGAAGGCTTCAATGTTGCATCCTCTGGAGATATTCCAGACAGTTTGTGGCCAAACATAACTTGAGGACAGATAGCTAGTGCTACTACTTATTAAGATAAATTAACTTGAGATCACATGTCCAAGTAATGGAGACCATGTTGTAAAATGTGGTGCATATGTGGTAGTTATCTGCTTTTCATTCTCAGGGTGCCCTTAGCCCTTGTCTCTATCTGAACTAAGGAGCTTCAGGTGCAAGGAAGTTGTAAATACAACGGGTTCATCTTTGCTATGTGTACAGCTCAGTAACTTGCAACTGAACCTGTAAATTGTAACTGTAACATGATTTTATTCAGTGGTCTGAAAGCTCCAAGTGATCTGTTGTAGCTGTTTCATAAATGTAAGTACATAACTGATAAGTAGGCATGTGCAAGTTCAGCTTGATTTATAGATGGATCAGCTGGTTGAATAGAGAGTTATTTTAACATCACAAAGCTGCTATTATCCTAGGCTCAGCCAAGCAGGTACCAAAGTAGTCCTGCTGCCTTTGGCGTGAAACGACAACAGTGTTACCAAAAAAGCTTTCCTTGTCCTACCATGACTTACTTGGGTATACTGGGCAGAAGGGACGAGGTACATATGAGATTTAGCAGCCAGGTAAGAACCAAAGAGTCCTGCTCTCAACTGACAAAATGGCTATCTAGACTATCATATAGTTTCTCACAGTAACTAACTCCATGCTTCTTGAAAGCCCACAAGCAGGAAATAAGCACAAGAGCACTCTCCCTACTTGTGCTCCCCAGCAACTGGTGTTCAGAGGCTGAGCACTTCCAGTATTGGGCTAGCCCCCAGGCATAATGGTTGGTAGCCACTGGTAGCCTTATTCTCCATCAATTTGTCTAATCTGCTTTCAAAGCCATCTTGGTTGGTGGCCATTGCTACCATCTTGTGCTAGCAGATTCTATAGTATTAAAGTACACTGAATTGTGAACAGTGAGAGCTTTTGTAACACGAGGCAGAAGATCTTAATTCTATATATCTCTGAGAAAGTCCTATGTACTGGATTCCTAGTTCATAGCATTCTTGACACAACCTCCCTCATATTCTGGGGGGTTGTACCATCTCTGGCTGACAATGAGGGTAAAATGTGGGTGCTGCTGTATCTCCAGTTGATACAGGAAAAAGAAGATTGAAAGACATACTGGACTGAGAAGCCAAGCAGAGGGATTCCTGAGCAAGGGCTGATGGTTAGGGAATGCTCGTTATGCCTTGGATATTTTCTGTTTCAAGGCTGGCCCTGGACCATTTGAATTAATGAAAAAAATCTGCCTCTGCATAGCTGCAGAGTAAATTTCTCTGAATACTGAGTAGTCATAATTAGAAAGGTTGCCACTTCAGATCTTCAGGTATCTGAAGAAGTGTGCATGCACACAAAAGCTCATACCAAGAACAAACTTAGTTGGTCTCTAAGGTGCTACTGGACATTTTAAAATATTTTTTATATATATTTCTACTACGTCAGACCAACACGGATACCTACCTGAATCCACATCTGCATAAATAGGTTTGGGGTGGGAGTACTCCTCACCCCAGTAAAATGCCTCAAGTAATTTGCATTTCACGTGTACTAAAGCCATTATTTCGCCTTTCATCCGCTGGGCTCTGACAACATTTTCTGGGATACGCGGCCAAATTCAATCCCGGAACTACATGTCGCCACATTACGGTGCTGCAGCCTGTTTTCCTGGTTACACAAGTTGGTTCACATACCTCCTATACGGTAGTAAGAAACGAGAACTATAGCGCCTGCGCAGTGCAAGCCCGTAAGATAAACAAAAAGCGCATGCGCTTAGGGAGCCTGAGTGATAGGACAATAATGGCTCATCGGCTGGCGGCGGCGGTTTTATCGCCCCCTTTGGCCGCCTTGTGGAGAGGCCACAGCCACGGACTTGCGAAGTTGGTACCGGTCCGGCAGGTGAGGAAAAGGCGGGTGCTGTTTTGTGTGTTGCACTGTCGTAAATACAACGGCGCCCTCCCTCTGTTCCCCAGAATGGTCTGAGTTAGGAATGGTGGTCGCTGGTTATGTCATCGCCGCGCGCGAGCGCTTCCATGACAGGTATAGGCCATATTCAGTGGGCGTGGTCAGAACGCGCCTCATGTAACCCGGGCTCTGGATTGGCAGAGAAGGAAAGCGTGATTTGTATAGTGACATTAGAGTTGCGGATTGGCTAGAGATGTGTGCAACTGCTTTGGATAGCAGTCAGTGGGCTACACTGGGGGGGTTGCTGTAAAGCTGTTCAGCGAAATAGGGTTGATTTCTGAGCGCACAGGATCCCGAGGTTAGCCGTGCGCTTCTGCGTGCGCAATATGCCGATGTTTAAGTATGGACCACGCGCCCTTGCTGAGCTCCCCACTGCTCAGCAATAGCAGGCCACATAGCACGGAGAATATCTTATGCCTGTTAATACATGCCCCTATCTCAACCGTAGCTGTCTTCCTTCTTCGACATGGGAATAATTATCCTTTAATGCCCCTGAACTATGGGGATCACAGCACAAAGCCTTCCCTATAGGACTAGCACAAGCCACTCTCAGCTTCACCCTAGGCTGCACACTGGCAGAGAAGGGCATTAAACTGACCCTCCCATGGGCCGTGTTAAGTTCTTTTCCTGGGATAATGCTAGTTTTCAGCTTCTGGTTTTAGAACTCCTGGTGCACAAACTATTCTGCATACAGAGCTTTATGGATACTTGGTTTTGAGGCCTTTCTGGCCACTGTGTTGCATATTTGTACCTTTGACCTTGCTCAAAAGAAAGGGGGAGGGACCCTTGCTGGCCCTCAGGAAACCAATGCCGCCCTTTGCTCTTTTCAGTGGTGTGAGAGAGTCCATCCAGGATGTGGCATGTCCTTCCATCACTGGCTGTGCTCCAAGCCTGAAGGTATGTGACTCCAGCAGAAAAGGGCTGGCGCTTCTTGTTTGTGGCTGTGTTGAGAAGAAGAATGTCCTGAAATTTTTTCCTGCTTAATTGTAGAGCACGTTATTTGCATATAGTAGGTCCCAACTTCCATTTCTGGTACATCCCTTTAAAATAATCTCAGGCAGCAAGGCTGGCAAAAACATTTGTTGGTGCCCTTGAAGCCTGCTGTCGATCATGATAGACAGCCTCAGCCGTCATCACTGAAGCTTTTCTTCAGGCAGCTTTATACTTACTGACCTACCAGCCTCCTATCAAGCTTTAAGTGTATTGTGTGGGCATATAGAAGGTTGATATTGAGGCACTTCTGGTCATTTCAGCGTTAGGGAAGTAGAGCATTGTGGCAGCGGTGGGGACCTTGTCGTGTAATATAGAGGCTGGAAAGAACAAGACTGAAGCTGTCAACAGTAAGATCTGTTTTTGTCCTGCAGGCTTTGAGAAGAAAGATGAAAAGAGACAGGGTCCAACAGAGGCAGCCCCTGATAATAAAGGTAAGCACCTTCTTTTCCATGGCTTGGTTATAGAGCATCTGCTCTTCACGCAGAAAATCCCAGGTTTGATTCCTGGCATTATTCTCCATGTAGGGCGGGAGACACTCTCTGCACAAAACCAGAGTGCCACTGTCTAGTGGTGCAAACAATCGTGAGAGAGATGGACCTTCAGTGGTCTGTTTCAGTAGAAGGCAGATTCCTTTGTTCCTATGTTCTTCCCTCTCATTTACCTCCCTAAAGTTGTTGAATGTCTCCCATTCCAAAAACTGGTCCATATCTCATAACTCTCCCCAACCTGTTCTGCTCCCCCTCTACAATGCAGCCAGGAGCCTTTTAAAGCCTAACATATAAGCATTTCTATTTTTTCTCTCCTTCCTAGAGCCTGTTGGCTCCAAAAATCCCAGTCTTTCCAAAAATACATGGGGAAGCAGTGGTGGAGAAGGCAAGAGAGGACGGAAAGATGAGGATTTGGGGTGGTGGAATCACATGCAGAAGGTATGTGACCATTTTCTCTGTTGCATTTATGTCACTGAAATGTCCTATTAGCCACCTAAAGCTGCTGGAATCAGGGATGGCTAAAGCAGAAAAGAAAAATGACACGATGATAGCAGCCATATTAATTACCTACTTTTTGCCCCCAGGGAGAGTTCCCTTGGGATAATAAGGACTCCCGGTACCTGATTGTCATGGGAGCTGGCATCCTCACAGGGTTCTTCTACCTCTACTACCGAGATCCAGGCAGAGAAATCAGCTGGAAGCACTTTGTGCATTACTACCTGGCCAAAGGACTGGTGAGGCGATATGTGGCAGGCCATCCTCTTGCTGGGGGCGGAGGGCAGCTCATGTATGTATTCTTCCCTATTCTATTCTAGCAGTAAAGTGTGGGCACCTGGAGTATGCATTAGGAGCAGGAGAGTGAATAGGGGGTGATTGCCCTTTGCTAGGAGTTCTCTGCGGCCACAACATACCATTTTGTACTCAAGTGAAGCTCCACCCAGAAAGATTCACTCTCACTCTTTCTGGCCCTATCCACACCATAGATTTAAAGCACTGTTATACCACTTTAACAGTCACAGCTCTCCCCCCCTCCTGCCCCAATATATGGTGTAGATGTGACCTCTCCTTCCTTCCTTCCTTCCTTCCTTCCTTCCTTCCTTCCTTCCTTCCTTCCTCTTAAGGTGGATCGACTGGAAGTGGTGAACAAGCAGTTTGTCCGGGTGTTCCCAATCCCTGGCGCCACCTCAGAGGTAAATAATTCCAGGGGACAGAGGGATGAGGTGGAGAAAGACAGGGGATGCCCACAAGCGCTGCTCCAGTCTGCCACAGTTAGACCTTTGGAAGAAAAGCTGTGTGTGTGTAAGGCACAGCAGTCTGGTGGCAAGGGGGTTGGGTCCATAGAGGTCCCTTTCACACCTGAAACAAGAGAAGGCTCTGTATATGCCAGGGGGCGTGAAAAATCAACACCTGTCCTTGGTTGCCACAGAAGCACATCTGGTTCAATATTGGCAGTGTGGATACCTTTGAACGAAACCTAGAGGCTGCTCAGCTGGAGCTGGGGATCAGCAGCGCCCAACAAGTCTCTGTGGTCTACAGCACCGAGAGTGATGGGTGAGTGACATGCCCCAGATCAGAAGCAGCTGTGCTAAAACTGCCCAGGTGCCACCTGCTGTAGCTCATGGGCCTTCTGACCTTCTCCTCTTTCAGCTCCTTTCTCCTGAGCATGGTGCCTAGCCTTCTGCTGTTGGGCTTCCTGCTGTTCACTCTGAGACGTGGACCAATGGGAAGTGGGCGCGGAGGGCGAGGAGGCGGGATCTTCAGTGTTGCAGAGACGACAGCAAAAGTCCTGAAGGACAACATTGAAGTGCAGTTCAAGGATGTGGCCGGCTGCGAAGAGGCCAAGCTGGAGATCATGGAGTTTGTGAATTTCCTGAAGAATCCGAAGCAGTACCAAGATCTTGGGGCCAAGATTCCAAAGGTGCCCACTTTTGATTTGTAGCCAATTCATCAGGTTACGCAGACAAGTCCACATGGCCGGTGCTTTTGGTGGAGAGGTGAAGGCAGCAGTTGGCTGCCCAAGACCACCATAGATGAAGCCCATCAGAATAGTGTCAGCTTGGAGGGTTGGAAGTGAATCTTCCTGAAACGAGGAACCTCTGAGCCCCAGCAATGTTGTGCCATTCCAGGCTTTGAGGTGCTGCTGATGTGGGTTAGCTGACCAGTTAAGGGAGGGACTGCTTGTCATTGGGCCGTATTGCTGCCCCACCTTCCCTCATGTTGGCCAGCCTCTTGTCTCTTGCAGGGAGCGATGCTCACGGGGCCCCCGGGCACAGGCAAAACCCTCTTGGCCAAAGCTACTGCGGGAGAAGCCAACGTCCCTTTCATCACTGTGAACGGCTCTGAGTTCCTGGAAATGTTTGTCGGAGTTGGGCCTGCAAGGGTGAGATTCTCGCAAAACGTTCTGCATTGGCAAGCTTCTTAAACAGAAAGGGTGGTTATCCAAAATCAGGAACTCACCTTGTAACTATACCTCCTGGGAGATAATAGAAAGGAGTCTAGGAGACTTTGGCAGGTGACATGAGCATCCAGGCTTCAGCTTTGCCCATTTGATGCTCCAAACGGATGCTCAGTGTTTGGGCAGGTGCCTGAGCAGGGGAGTCTCTTGTTTCTTGTACCTGCTTGCATATCTCCCTCAGATGCTCAGCTGAGCCTGCCCTTTCTCCTCCCAAAGGGGCGGGATTCTTCCACCTTGAGTCCCATCATCAGCATCCTGCTCCAGCTGCTCACCAAACCAGACTGCTTTCTTCCCAGTGGGTGGATCAACTCTGGGGAAACCTCTTTGTTTCAGGTTCGGGATATGTTTGCCTTGGCACGGAAGAATGCCCCTTGCATCCTCTTCATTGATGAGATTGATGCCGTCGGGAGGAAGCGGGGCCACGGGAACTTCGGGGGCCAGAGCGAGCAGGAGAACACACTCAACCAGCTGCTGGTAGAGATGGATGGTGAGATGGAGCAGAGGCATCTCGAGGAAGGAAGGAGCTGGCAGGCCCTTGTCTCCCTGGAGAAACAAGCAATCTGAAGTTCTCGCCCCTGTTCCTTAGCATTAACAGAGGCTTCTGTGTTAATGTTTCCAGACCTTTAACATGGTTCCTGCCTGGGATAGCTTGGCTGTTCCCAGCTGTGCCCCCTGCTCCTTTTGCCCCATCACCATCTTTAAGATCAAGTGAGAGCACCCCTCATACACAACCCTCCCCTCAACCTGGTGCCCCAACCAAATGTGGCTGGACTCTGAACACACACCTTCCCCATCCAGTGGTTAGTGGTGATGAGACCACCTGGAGGGTACCAGCCCTGGGACAAGGCTGCTTTAAGGTGTCCAATTATTGTATGGTTGGGGATAAGGGAGAGTTTGTGTTAGCAGAATGGAAGGGGCATTAAATTGGGTTCTAAACTGGGTCTTTTTAGTTTACTTTTAAACCATTCTGAAGGTGGGCTTAACTAGTGACCTAGTTTCATAACTACAGAAGGTTACATTCTGAATTTTGTTGCAAAGCACTGTATTTCAATCCGAATACGTTAGCTCCGCTCCCCTCCACTAGAAGGCTTGGATGATGTTTGGGGAATGTGTTCTGTGCACAAAATTGCAAGAGGCATCCCCCTGCCCCCCCACCCCCGGAGCTGATCTCCTCTCATTTCCTGTGCAGGGTTCAACAGCAGCACAAACGTCGTAGTGCTTGCAGGCACAAACCGACCCGATGTCTTGGACCCGGCGCTGACGAGACCTGGACGCTTTGATCGGCAGATTTATATTGGTAACAGATGCTATGTCTAGTCTTAGTTGTGCTCACCACTTTTGCTGGTCTCCCTGCCCGCCACTGGAAGGTTGCCCCTGGAAGGTTGCTCAGAAGGGAATGTAACCCATGGTTTGAAAAGGGTTGCCTATCACTGCCTTAGATAGCCCCAGCTCTTCAATGAAACAACATCCTCCTGTTGCTCAATCAGCAGGACTTACTGGGAGGTACCCAGAGTCTTGATGAGCTTCAGAGAGACTTGCCTTGACTTTTCCTGACCTGACGTGACCTGCTTGGAAGAGGCTCCAAGGAGCAGAGGGAGATTTCTTTCTGCCCTTTGCTTTTCTCTCTCATTCTGATCCTGATGAGATATTTTGGAGTCAGGAGAGGTTTCCTGGGGTATTAAAGCGGCAATCTCTAAAGAATTGGGAAATTTCAAACAGATTAAAATTATTTGACTTTTAGAAGACATCTGAAGGCACCCCTGTTCAGGAAAGTTTTTAATGGTTGATATTTTATTGTGTTTTTAATATTTTGTTGGGAGCTGCCCAGAGTAGTTGGGGCAACCCATTCAGATGGGCGGCATATAAATTTATTATTAAATAATTATTGTGGAGCATGACCGGCCTCTTTTAACTCCTTCTCGTTTCTAAGGACTGCGTCTTTAACTCTCTTTCCCCAACCAGGCCCACCGGACATCAAAGGCAGAGCATCCATCTTCAAAGTCCACCTCCGGCCTCTCAAACTGGATGCAGATATCAGCAGAGATACTCTGGCTCGGAAGATGGCAGCCCGGACCCCAGGATTCACAGGTGAGATGTGGACAGAATGCCAGCATGTGGACGGGGGAGAGCAGGAGCGCTATTGGTCAGAGGGGGCACCTGAGCGGGAACCTGTAGGGCAGCCTTCCCCAACCTGGCGCCCTCCAGATGTTTTGGACTATAACTCCCATAAGCCCAGCACATGGCAAAGGCTGTTGTGGGGCTTGGCATGACTTCCTTGTTTGAGTCATTTGGCTGTGTTGTTTCTTTGGAAGCAGAGGTTGCAACAGAAAGGCAGCAGCAGGAGCCCCAGTTCTGACACAGTCAGGTGCTATTTGTTACTTTGTGGGCCTCTGCCATCTTCTCAGAGGAGCCTTCCCGCCCCACCCTGCTGCTTGGCCTGGGGTCTAAGTGGAACTGGGTAGCCTGAGGTGAACGGTCCTTCCCCACAGGAGAGTCTCTGGCAGCTGTGGAGGAGCACATCTGCTTTGGAAAAGAGCTTGCAGAGTCTGCGGCAACAAGCTTCAGTGAGAAAGAAAAAGGCACAGGGATATGGAGACCCCCACCCCACCTTGAGTTAAAACAGAAAAGGGCATTGCCCTGCCACGCTGGATTAGGAATACCAAGGAAAGAGTTGTTCCTTCCCCCTGCTTTTCATGATTTGTTCTCATGAGAGCCAGTGTGGTATAATTGTTATCGAGTGTCAGACTAGCACCTGGGAGACCAGGGTTCATATCCCCACTCAGCCAGGAATCTCACTGGATGACATTGGGCCAGCCCCCGCCTCACCCCTCAAAGGGCTGTTGTGAGAACATAATGGGAAGGGGAAAGCCATATACACCACCTCGAGCTTCTTGGAGGAAAAGGTGGCATGTAAATATAGGAAATAGAGTAATAATAAATAAATAAATGTCTTGCCAGCTTTGAAGGTGCTTGAAGGAGCTTTCAGGCCAATCTGGACTATCTCTTCCTTGGAATAAATTTCAAAGACCTTCTTAAAGCTTTGCCAAACAGAAGGTTGCTGGAGACGCCAAGTTCCCTTTTCCATCAGCTGTTGCACTAACATCTCTCTCTCTCTCTCTCTCTCTCTCTCTCTCTCTCTCTCTTTTTCCAGGTGCCGATATCTCCAACGTTTGCAATGAGGCTGCCCTCATTGCCGCACGACATGCCAGTCCCACTGTGAACGAGAAGCACTTTGAACAGGCCATTGAGAGAGTCATTGGGGGTGAGGGTCCCTGCCTGCTCACCATGCCAGCTCTGAGTACCAGTTGCTGGGGAACAGGAGCACAGGGAAAGCTGTTCCTGTAGAGTAGACTTCTGCCGCCGTGGGAAGCAGGATGCTGGTTTAGTTGGGCTTGTGGCCTGATAAGGAGATGTCTTGGCAGGCTGTCAGATCCTGAGCATTTATTTCCAAGCAAATCTTGCCAGTTTCAATGGGGCAAGTCAGGGTGCGATTGCACTGGCAGCTTCCTGCTGATTTACTGGTGGATATGCCACTGAACGTGGCCTCTTCTGTTCTTCCCAGGCCTTTCATGCATTGCTTTTTAGGCTTCCCAGACCTGTCTGGTCACTGTGGGGAATGGGGTGCTGAATTAGATGCCCCTCTGGCCTGACCCAGCTTCCCAGTGACCTATGGCCATCGCTAGACCTCCAAGTATTTGCCTATCCCCCTCTTGATGTCATCTCAGCTGGCGGCTGTCATCACATCTTGCAGAAGTGATTTCCAAACATTCTTCTTGGGCAGGGGTTGGCAATTTTTTTAGACGTGGGCCGGTCCACTGTCCCTCAGACCTTGTGGCGGGCCGGAGAAGCAGCACCGGGGGGGGGGGGAGCTGGAAGAAGAGGCGAGGGGGGCAAGTAGTCCTCCCCAAGCCCCAGCCCCAGCTGCTGCACTTACCTGCTGCCACTGCCGCCTCCACTGCTGCTGCTTCTTGTGGATAGGCAGAGCGAGCTTGTCTGCTTCGCTCTCTGGCCCACAGGAGCACCAGGGCGGTGGCAGTAGCATCGGAGGGAAGATGAGTGGCGCGAAAGGGCTAGCTCCAGAGATGGGCTGCTTAAAATGGTGCTCAGCCAGCTCAGCCCAGCCCCCTTCCTCCTCTAGGCAGGGCAGGGAGAAGCCAGGAGGAGGGAGGGAGGAGGTGCTGCCGCGGCATGTGGGGGGGAGGAGGGGGGAATGTAATGGCACGGGGGGAAATGGTGCAGCCCGAATGAACAGAATCCCCACGCCGATCCATGGACAGTCCATGGGCTGGATCCTGAAGGCAATTGGGCCTGATCCGGCCTGCGGACCTTCATTTGCCGACCCCTGTTCTTGGGTTTGTGTGCCTCTGCAACAAGAGCCTCAGCTACTGCCTTTTGCTCCTGAGAAGAGCAGAACTGAGCAGAGCCCTGCTGAGTTTTGTGTGGGTGGAGAAGAAGCATTTGCAGTTCCCCAGTAATTTTAACAACCCAAAGAGAAGTGGTCCCCAGAGGGACCCGGCCTTGAGCAGTCCTCTGCAGTTGCAGGTACTTTGCTGTGGAAACTGTTAGTGAAAGGAAACTGAGAAGCAGGACCGGGAGAAAGCTTCCCTAAGGGAAGCGGAGGCTTAGCGGCTTCTGTGCTGCAGTTGGAGCATTGCTCTGCCTCTTGTGGGTGAACCAGCTGACCATATTGCCTTACAGCTTCTGGTTGCAGAATGTTTCCTATAGCAGAGCTAAAGAAGCGAGTCTTTGATCTTCTCTGTGGAGGCAAGAATTTGGCATTAACAGCTTGCAATTAGAGCTCTCGTATTTTCCATCATGAACTGCAGGTTTTGTGTGGATTCTCCAGTGGGTTGGTATCTGCTGGGAGTGTGTGTGTGGTGAGTGGAGAGCTTTCTCATTGCTTTCGACAAACACTGCACTTTCCTTCTTCTCCCCCACCCCCCTGCTTCCCTCTTTCTCCAGGGCTTGAGAAGAAGACCCAGGTCCTGCAGCCAAATGAGAAGACCGTAGTGGCTTACCATGAAGCTGGGCACGCTGTGGTGGGCTGGTTCTTAAAGCACGCCGACCCTTTGCTCAAGGTGCGTCTCCCCCAGCCAGCGGAAGCTCTCCTAATATAAACACAAAGCAGGTTGTGGAGCGGGTAAAGCCAGCTGAGCTCCAGTTCTTTTCCCGAAGGGCCAGGTAGCTCAGTGAAGGTCCCCCTTTGGTTCAGAAGACTCAACAGGGTTGTTCTGTCCCAGGTGGTGGTCTCAGTCAGATGAGGTTCCAGCCCCAGAATGAGGTTCCAGGCAAGAGTTCAGGTTCCAGCAAGCCAAGCAAATTTAGGCGAAGTCCGCTTTTTGGTTAAGCAAAGCAAGGCAAAGTCAAGCACTTGGAAAGGTAAAGTCCCAAGTAGCACTGGGAGATTCATACAAGCTGGAGATTCATACAAGCAAGCTACATTATTGCTTCAGCATCAAACCGTCCTGGTCGGAGGCCTGAGCAGGGCTTCAGCATAGTCCAGGCGGCTAGCTATGCCTCTGGGAGCAGCCTCCGTTCCTTAAAGGGGCCTTGCCTATAGGCTCCAATGGAATAGGCTTCTGGCAGGAGACCTCTGACCAAGAGAGTGACAGTGTGACTTCCTCAGGTGGTAGTGAGATGGGCTGCTTGGCACAGAGGTGCTTCCAGGAGAGTAGGGTCAGTTGTGGCTGATGTTGAGGTCACTTCTTCATGGCCTCATCCTGCTAACCTGGAGGGTCTGCCGTCCCCTTGAGCCTCCCTGGTTCCGGCTCCAGGTGCAAAGTGCCTCCTGGCAGATCTGAACTACTCTGAATGAGGAAACAGGATCTGGGTGTTCCTTGCAGGATAGCACCCCAGAATGCTCCTGTTAAGCTAAGAGTGACATAATGCAGGATACGTCCTTGACTTCACTTGCACTGTTGCTGGAGCAAGGGTTGAGTGCAGAGGCGAAGGAAGGAAGGATGGTGTAGAAAAATCCTCCTATATGGCAATGCTGATTCGGAGCAGGATAGCAGCAAGGGAGCATACAGGGAAAGGGCTGCCTGTTAGTGTAGGCACTGCTGAGCTAGATGGACCAATAGTCTGACTCGGTATAAAGCAACTTATTACAGCTAGGTTGGACCCAAAACAGAGATCTCCCCGCCCCCCTGCCCAAAGTGCCCAGCTGAGTCCCTTTGCCATTCCCAGCAGGGGCGAATTGCTCTCTCCTTCCAGAAATAGTTGTGTGTGTAACAGACTGCTGTACTTGCAGATGATAGCTGATGAGAGCAATTGGTGTTCCTTGTTTTGGAAATCACTCTATGCAATTTAGATCCCTTCAATAGAATTTTTCCCCCCTGCATGTAAATCTTTGCCCTTCAAGGGAACTGCAGCAACCTTTGGGTGATGCAGTAAATGTCTAACTGACTCTGCACGGGTTGTGGGGAGGTGAGTGAGTGTCTTCCGCTCCCTGCTGCTCCACTTTCCTGTTAACTCAAAGCTGGACTGGGCTCTGCCTTGCTGACCTTGGCTCTGCATGTTCCTGGCAGGTCTCCATCATCCCCCGGGGCAAGGGCCTGGGCTATGCGCAGTACCTGCCCCAGGAGCAGTTTCTCTACACCCGGGAGCAGCTCTTCGACCGCATGTGCATGATGCTGGGGGGCCGCGTTGCTGAGCAGCTCTTCTTTGGCCGCATCACAACTGGCGCCCAGGATGATCTCCGGAAGGTGACGCAGAGCGCCTATGCCCAGGTAATGCCCCATCAAGACATGCCCTGTGCTGCTGGGTGCCCTGGGTATGAGGACATAATGAGAGCCCTTTATCTGATGCAGCAGCTTTGTTAGAGATGCCCTGTTTAGAAGCCAAGGATAGTTGAGTCCGGCTGAAGGAGCCAGTGGAGACCCACCTGGTCTAGCATTTTGTTCTCGCAGTGGCCAACCAGATGCCTCTGTGAACTTTGCAAGGAGGACCTGAGTGCAATAGCACTTGCCTCACTTATGATTCCTAGCAACTGGTATTCAGAGGAATACTGCCTCCAATAGTCAAAGTGGAACATAGCCATCTTGGCTGGTAGCCTTATTTTTATCCTCCAGGAATCTCTCTAATCCTCTCAAGGGCAGACTTGGACAGGAAAGAATGAGAGGGAAAGAAATGTCGGAGAGTCAGTCTTCTGGTCAGAGCAGGGGGGAGGTTTATCACTTGCTAAATTTGTGCCCTGCCTTTCCCCACCAAATTGTAGGATCCAGGGATAATTGTCTGACTCTGAGTTCACAGCTTTGCATGCACCCAGGCTGGTGCCAGCTGCCTTGTCTGTGCTCTGCTTCACTCTGGACCTTTCTAACGTCTAATTTTGCAGAAAGCAAGCTTCTGTCTCCCAAGACCTGGGAATGTGAAACTCTTGGGAAATTGGGGCAGCTCAAGATGGATGCCCTGGCGCAAGAGAAATAACCCGGCATTGTCTCTGCCACTCCCTGCCCCCGCTGCCTCCGGCCCTGCTGCTGGCTCAGGAGTGTTGCTCTCTTTCCAGGTGGTGCAGTTTGGCATGAGTGACAAGCTGGGTCAGCTCTCCTTTGACCTTCCGCGGCAGGGTGATCTGATGCCTGAGAAGCCTTACAGCGAAGCCACCGCTGAGCTGATTGACGAAGAGGTGCGTGCCTTGATCAACACGGCCTATGAGAAGACCCTGGAGCTGCTGACTCAGTGCCGTGGCCACGTGGAGAAGGTACGGAGCCAGGGCAGACGCTCCCTGCTGACTTGTCCTGCACTTCAAATTGGGTCTGCTTGCAGCACACACAACCCATGTCAAAGACGCTGAAATGGGACACATTTGCAGGTTAAATGGGGACAGCACAGCAGGGACCATTAGAAGCAATGAAGGACACGGAAACTACTCTTGAGGGGAACGGTTTAATTTTGCTGCAGGAAGGAATGCACAATGGGAGTTGTAGCTTCTCTCCTTAATTTGCATTATGTTTCTTAATGGGCTTCTATAGTGTTGCTTGATCTCCATAGCCATATATTCATTGGGTGATATTCAGCTAAGTTCTACACAGAATAGACCCATTGGAATTAATGAACATGACTATGTTAGGGCCATTAGTTTTGGTGGGTCTGCTCATGACTAAAACTTGGTTGACTACCATCCATTGTCCTAAGACAAATAGCAGAAGTTGCTGATCCGGATCAGGGCTGGCATTAGCACCCAGCCTCCTTGGGCACCTGCAGGGCTCCCAGTGCCCAGCAGGTCTTAACACTGACATGTTCCTCATAAAAGATTCTGCCATGGCACTCCAGGTAGCTGTACCATCTTAATTTCCCACAATGCCTACATCAGGGCCGGTGTTGTTGGTCACATGGCTGGTAGCTCCAGAGGAGTCCAGTGACCTGTTTACTTTTTATTTTGACCCTTGCAGGTAGGAAAGCGTCTCCTAGAGAAGGAAGTCCTGGAGAAGGCAGACATGGTGGAGCTGTTGGGGCCCAGGCCCTTTGCAGAGAAATCCACCTACGAGGAGTTTGTTGAGGGGACCGGGAGCTTGGAAGAAGACACCTCCCTCCCCAAGGGCTTGAAGAACTGGAATCTCGAGCAGGAGGAGGAGAGAGCCGAGGAGAAGGCCTCTTAGGGAAAGCAGGGCCAGCCTGAAAAGAAACGCATGGCACATTGTCCATTGGTCAAGCACCAAGGCCTGTTTCTTTGGCTGGGGGCAGCATTGCCGAGAGACCAGCTGAGCCTCACTTTGCCATGGAATCATGGAACACTGTCAGGCTCCCCTTCCACCAAAGGACCAGCAACAATGTTCAAGGACCACTGTCTGCAGCAAGCAACCTTCTTCAGTTCTCCCCCTCCAACGAAGGACATGAACTGGGATGGTTGCTTGGAGCAGAGAAAAGCAGGTGCCCTCTCCTGAGCTGATCACAAACAGCCTCTGTGCCTCCAGTAAACTCATCGACCATCTGACACACACAGACCCAGCGGTCTGGGAAGGTAAAAACAGGCGAGGAGTATCCTTTCCAGGAGACCGCTCTTCTCAAGGGACCAAGGGCTGCCTTATTATGCTCAGTGCCTTCACTCCAGCTTCCCCCCTGCTTTCCCTTCCCTTCCCCTCCCCTGCCAGCCTGCCTTGCAAATGGGCAAGAGTGAACAGCAGAAGGCCATGCAGAAGAATTTCTGTGAACCTTGAGAACCCCGTGGACTTATCTAAGGGTGGAAGTGACCTCAGGGAGGCCTCTTTGCAGGAGAGCGAGGGGTTGAAAATGGGAAGGGCCTGTGAGGAACAAACCCCATTGAGCAGGGACTGAATAAGAACATGGTGCTAGTTTAAATGGTGCTACTTGAATCCTTAGTTTCTAGCTCTGTTGGGCAGGAGCCCCAAGCAAATCCAGTAGGGCCACTCCAGACTATGGCTGTCCTGTGTGCAACATCAACTGCTTTCCCGTTGTCTGCGGAGCAACCTCCTTCCTTTACACAGTGCCTGATATTTCTCACCACCAAATGCCTTCCCTGCAGAGGCGGCTTTGTCTTGAGGGCAGCAGTGCAGGAACTCCCTCCTGGTTGTTTAGGCAGTTTATACTTCAGTCTCACCCGAGTCCCTGCAAAGGAGCAGCTCAGGGCACCTTTGGGCCCTTTACTTCCTGCTGCTTTTGCCTTGGAAATGTCACCTATGGTGGGCAACCAGTGGACTTCCATGCAAGACATCTTAATGGCTTCGGGGCTCTATCTCCTAGATCAGTGTTGGAGCAGTCAGGGCAGGAGGATATGCAGCCCAACTCACCCCACCACCACTTCCAGCACTCCTTTCTTGGCACCTTGTGCTCATTTGCCAAAAAGCTTAGAATTCGTACCTGTGAGGGTTTTGATGTGGGTGTGTTGTGCCAACTCTATTGTAGCCGCTGCCTTTGGAACCACTTCATCCAGCCTTCCGCCAGATGCCAAATCAACCTGGCATTTGCCCATGTATTGCCCACTGGGCAGAAGTCATCCAGAACCCCCTGCCCCACATTGGCAAAGCCTCCCATGTAAAACCTGTGTGTCAGCCTTGCTCTTCCGTCTCCACTCCACCCCCACTGCTAGCTGCTTCTGCTGTTTACTCACTTGAATGCTGGCCATTCCAAAGCATTTGACCAACCGGCTTCTGAAAAAGTGACTCAGCAGAAACAACGCTGACTAGCTCAGCAAAACTGCTGGCTTTACTGAAAGTCATATTTGCTATAATCAAAGACCAAAATAAGTTTGGGCACCACCTTCTTCCAGGAGTCTTCTGCATGATGAGTTGCTTTTTTCTTTCCCTGTCCTTGAGAACCTTTGCAGGGAGTTGCATTTTCACATGGAAGGTGCCCCACATCTACCATATAGGTATAGGTCAGACTTATGTGTCCTTCTTGCCCAGTAATGCTGCATACCCCAGCCTTTCCCACCAGGGGTCCTCCAGATGTTTCAGAACAGGGGCTGATGGGAGCTGTAGTAATTGTAATGGTTTTGTCTGTTTTTATAGTCTTTTCTGTTGTTAAAACCTGACCTGGGACCTTAGGGTTGAACCAGCGGGCCACAAATCTTATAAATAAAACAGCTCAGAGCATCTGAAGAGGACCAGGTTGGGGAAGGCCAGCCTGCCCTGACTGTTGCAACTCTCCAGGGCCTTGAGCAGAGGTCATATGGATTGTGGGCACCTCTGAGACGCCTCTTGGCTTGCACTCACTTCAGTAGGTTTCCCCTTCTCTCCTCTTCAGCTTTTTGCGCACATCCCATAAATTTAGCCCTGTATAGAAGGAGAGACAGTGTGCTGCTGAAGTGTGTGCAAGCGTAACCTAATTTAAAAATGAAACACTCAAGCGCTAGCCAGCCCCCAAAAGACAGCCAGGTTTCTAAAGAAGAGGAAAACCTGTATCTTTTGTAAACAAAGGCAGATGTGCAAACCTTGGTAAGCAGATCTGCAGGGAGGGCAACAAGGAGCAATAGATTAAGTACCAAGAACATTACAGATAGCAGTGGTGTGATGTGTTAGTGTGGACACTACTGAATATATATCTCAGGTAAAATGGGAGGTATATGGAGGCTGAAGGAGGTGTGTAGGATTAGCAGGTTGTGACAAAGCCACTGATGAGGGGGAACAAATCAGGTTGGGCACAAGTCATTCCCAGTTGAGCCTCAGTGTTATCAGTAGGGAGCAAGAAAACACAGTTTGCAAAAAGCAGATTTTGTGGGCTCTGCAGCTGCTGGCTGGAAACTTACAGCACCCCCCCCCACACACACACACCTCACTTCCGTTGTGCTGTGGATTCTGACTTCAGCAGCCTTTCCTTCCATGCAAGGACTAGGGAAGGAATCGATTGGACTTGGGAATGCAAGTGTATTTATTTGATAAACAGCCTGTTTTCTTCTGCATGTGGGTTTGTTTGTTTCCTTGCTTCATAAGAACAAAGCAAAACAACAGAAAAAGCCATGATTTTGCTTTAATGGTTCAGACTACATTGCCAGGGCACACCCTGTGATCTCTTGCTGGGTCTCTTCCACAGCTTTAGAGGCCACTGCTGTCTGACTCCAGGAGTTGGGGGACAGCAATAAATCATAACTGGGCACATTCAAACTTCAAACCCCAAGTGCAGAAACCTGGATTATACACGTCTGTTGGGTGAATGACAAGACAGTGGTGTGCAGAGCATCATCAAGGTCAGACCTGGGTCTGCACGGTCGATTGGGCAGTTTTCCTGCTCATGGCACCAGCAAGTGGATTGTGTGACAGAGTCAAAGCTACAGCCCAGCCCCAAGAACAGCAAAGGACACGTTGGGTCATCGTTAGGTGATATCCAGCACACTTCTGATTGGCTCCTGTAAAAGCTGTAGTTCTGCCTCAGCCAGAGCAACCGAGACTTTGTTTTGCCAGCTCTTACACCTTGCCCAATGAGAGGCCAAGATCTGGGCAAGAAGTATCTGGAAGTGCCACCTCCTGCCTTCCTGACCCCTGTTCATTGGGTGCCTGCAGAAAAGCTCTGGTTGGTCCTCTGTGCCCAGGTGAATACTGTTGCGTGTGCTGAGCATTGCAGAGGCAGCAAAGGAGCCCCCAGCCAAGCAACTGGCTGGACCTGTTGGCATGAGGAAGGAGGGCGCGAGAGAATGGTATGGGTCATTCTAGCTGCTGCTCCTAGAAAATTTGGTTCTGTGGCTTTAAGAAACCCTGATTGCTGTGAAGGACAGCCTCCAGCTCCAGGGGTGATCTGTCAGGCTTATTGAGGCTGACTTCTCCCACCTGCGCACAATGCAAGGCCACAGGAATTGTGCTTTGCCAAGAGTGAGCAACTCAGAGGTGAGTCTCCAAGCATGAAGGGGCTGGACTTGATGGAAACATGAACTCGCCACCTGGAAGAGCTTTGTGGCCTTTGCCTTCAAGTGGCCTTGATGCTGTCGCTGTGCCAAGTGAGAAAAATGTAGCGCGCCAGGGAAGTCTGTCCTGGCCCAGCAGAGCTGTGTGGCCTTGGCTCCCCTGCTCTCCTTGCCTCTGAGCCTCTGTAATTGTGCTGATCTGGTGGTATCCCTGCTGCAGCATCCTGCCTCCACTTTGGCCAACAAAGCTGACTGTTCCTCAGATCATAGCAAGGATGAAACCAGCCTCACGTCCTCCAGAAGAGGCTGCTTTTCGGTGAGGTCCCTCTTCTTCCACAAGCCCCAGTTAGATCCAGCTTAAATTGGCACAGAGACTCAGGGTTCCAGGGTTGGCTTCAGGTTCCTGTGTTATAAACAACAAACTGGGTTTCATGAACTGGAAGGGTGTGGATGCACTTGAGAGCATCCTTGCAAACAGCTGAATTTGGCTGTGGAAGCAAAGGATCAACTTGGGAAGCAGGCAGCTGTTGTTCTCCCTGAGCCCCCTCTCGGCACATGCACACACATATTCCCTGGCGGCTCATATGTCATCTGGGCATCATGATACACCAGCATTTCCACTTCAGCTGGCTGCGAGATCGGCTTGTGCTGCAATCAGCAGATGCTTATCTGTTAAGCCGTGAAACTCTGGACAGGCCTCAGAGTCCTCGTCATCTACGCTCTGCGCTCCACAATGGGGCTTGAAAGTTTATCTCCTCTGGCGTGGCAGGCAAAGTGGAGAGGGCTGAGGGCTGTGCATTTTTGAATTCCCAAAGAGGAGGAAGGAGGGCATCTGCAGCTCCATTTGTCTTGACACAAATCCCTCTTGCCTTAAGATGCCAGCATTTTGCTGCAGAGGATGGAGGCTGCTGCTTGCTACAGACTCATCCCAGGAATGCATGAGAAGATTTTGTCGCCCTCTGATCTGTTTGGCAAGGAAACCGGCTTTAAACTAAGGCCCAGACCACCTCTCTTAGTGGCTGTAAAGAAATGCAGCATTCCCCTCGCCCATGGCTACTGTGGTGTCTCAGGCTGTGGAGCCTCTAACCCCCCCCCCACTGCCTCCTCCAGAAAGATGCAGTCACCCAGAACAGGGCTGTGCAGTTACTCTGTAGGTTTTGGGGCTTGTGCAGTGCCCCCATCTCTGTTGGAGGTCCGGAGAGTCAGTGTGGTTGATAGATTAGAGGGCTGTGCTGAGCTCCGGCCTGTGGTCCCACCTCAGCTGCAAGTCGCCACCTCACAGCCTCCAGTTCAATGTCACTGACAGGCATGTTTCGATAGCAAACCCAGTAAGGACTGCGGCACATTTGCAAAGTGAATGGAGCAACATGATTTGAATGGTGTAGGGCTGGGAGAGAGAAGCTGCTGTTCCTGCCCCATCCTGGCTTTCCCATCCTGAGAAGGAGAGGGGGGGAGAGAGGGGATGCAACCCTCTGGGTCTAGCTAACTGGGTGCCAACAGAGGTGCCCAGTCTGCCAAGTGGCAACACCAAGTGGCTGACCAGCCCTGGTGAAGAAGGTAAGGTAAACTGGGCTCCCAAACTTTCTGAGGCCCAAAAACCTCAAGAGGGTACAAGAGGGTGTGTAAGCCTTGGGAGGAGCCTGTGCTGAAGGGGACCCCAGAGACTGAACTAACTCCCTTGTCCCTGCTACAAGGGCATTCAGGCACCAGAGTGCCACCACTAGGGAAAACACAAGCTGGGTCCAGCACTTGGCTGAGAGCTTCTGGTTTAATGCACAACAGGGCAAGAAGCAGTCTCAGCAGCGTGCCTCTTTCCACTGGCACAAAGAGGCCTCCCCAGTTCACAAGGGGGCGTACCATAGGATGGGCTTAGCTGCTCAATTCAGTCCTGCTCCTTCCTGGCTTCCAAGCAGTTGTTTGTCAACATCGACGGCCGTGGAGGGAGCTCTTCCTCCTCATGAGAATGCACAGAGTTGCAGGAGGAGAAGCGTGCAGCTGCCCTGAGGCTGAGCCAGGCCAAGCCTGTGGATGCTGTGTGCTAAGAAGACCAAACCCCCAAAGCAGCAGCTGGGAGTTAAGGCCACTGGGAAGAAAATGTGCTTTCGGAAGTGAGGGCTGGTTCCACCCTTTCCCAGCAGGTCGTCCTGGCAGCTGGACTTTTGGCTTCACCACATATCCTGGAAGTGTTGTAGAAATGGTTCTGAGTTTCCCCCAGGTTCCTTTGGTATAACAAGGTTCCTTTCCCTGGCTGAGACGCTGCCTCCCATCACCCCAGCATTGCTCAAGGCACGTGGCTGAAGAAGGGGAGCTTTTTCTCTATTGCTGTGTGCTTCAAGCCGCTCTCCCTCTCCCGTTTCTACTCGTCCCCAGCAAGGTAGCCTCTTGTTGGTGTGTCCATCGCCACCGGCTTTGTTGAGAAGGTAGCAGCAGAAGGTTCAAAAGTGCCTAAAGGAAACAGGGCCGCAACCGTCTCCCCTAGATGTGGCATCTGCTTCCTGGTGTTGATGGCAATGCAGAGAAGGTCCTGATGGGCAAATGTAACTCATGCCCGGGGGCTAAGCGAAATGATTTTTACACAACCAGCAAGACTGGCAAATGTCTTGACCTGGGAGGGAGGGAGGGAGGGAGGCAGAGGAGGAGGCAGAATGAATGTCTCTTAAGGTCACAAATTGCTTGGAATTTGTGGTTAGTGCAAGAGTGAGTGTTGGCACCTTGGTCTGGCTTCTGGCTCTCGTTATTCTTCTTTCGGCTTCTCCACAGTAAGGAAAGTGTCTGCTTTGCTGGCCTGGAGCTCCGAGTCGCTGAGGTGCTTCTTCTCCCGGCCCTGATCACCTTTTGACCTCGTCCAGGATGGGGAGCGCAGGTAGCCGGCCCGGGGGTTAGGGTGGAGGTGGGGGTGCAGACCTATGTCAAGAGAAAGAAAGGCAAGTCGGGACTGACCAGCACACCTGGTTGCTTCCTCACACCGACAGACCTTTCGTTAGGACTGCCGTATGTCTGGAATTTCCCAGACATATCTGGGGATTTGTCCACCAAAAATAGCGTCCAGGCAGAGTTTTCAAAAATTGTTTAGAATGTCTGGGAAAATCCGGGTATATGACAGCCTACACTGGAAGTGTTGGGTTGTTGTTGTTGCAAATTCCCTATTTTAAAAAGCTCAAAACTTTCTTTCTTTCTTTCTTCTTTCTTGGAGATTTTGCAAAAATCAGGGCTCAGCCACACTTTCGTCTGCCCATATTCTGATTGCATTGTGTACCAACTAATTCCCCCAGGTCTAAGAGCTTCCCCATTGTTCTGTGGTTGTGCCTTGAGAAAAATCCATTGTACCCGTTGACTCAATAGCTCGGTAAGCAACATCCCTCTTCGGATTTTCTATGCATCTGAGAAGATCCAGTTCAGTGGGTAAGAACTGATTTTCGCAAGGCACAGCTGCAGAACAATGAGAAAACCTCTCGGACCCTGGGGAATTACCGTATTTTTCCATGTATAACACGCCCCCATGTATAAGACGCCCCCTATTTTGGGGGACTCCAAATTAAGAAAATGGAAAATGGCAGCCAATTGCCAGCAGCCCTTCTCACAGCCACCAATCATCAGCACTATCGCCACTGAGAATCTCCTGCTCGCAGCTGCGACCAATCGCCCAACCCCACTCTGCACTACCCAAGTATAAGACGAGGGATAATTTTAAAGCTAATTTTTAAATTAAAGACCCTCGTCTTATAGACGGAAAAGTACGGTAATCGGGGCACAATGCAATCAAAATACAAGTCAAGTTTGGGCGAGCCCTTAATTTGTGATCCATCTTTCCACATACTGGGTATCAAAGGCAGCTATCTGAAGCAATGTACAATAAAAACAAAACAAATATCCAAAGCAGATAAAACAACAGCAGAGCAGAAGAGAAGTAGATTAAAACAGTAACCAACTTAAAATCCTCAGTGAGAAACACAAAGTCCTCCCACTCCGGCGAGGGGCAGCTAGTCATGCGCAAGGCCAGCTCCCAGCTGTGTCCACATCAAAGGACACATCCAGCTAGTTCTGTGGGGCCTTGATGAGCAGCTCACGTGGGTCTCCCTAGCTGTACTTGCAGCCTGTGCAGCCAATACATTTTGCAAGGCCTGCTCAAAATCGAATAAGCTCCCTTTCCAGACGCAGCCTCCCAGTGAAAGAGGGAGGACTTTGAGCCCCGCATTTTCTGTGAAGAAGTAGAACAGAGGTGTGGGATCCACTGGGTGTTTTTGGCAGATCCCCTGAGAGTCTGCTCACCTCATTCTGTGTGATGCATACACATGATGGCCGATAATAACAAATCAAAAAGCCGACCTGCAGCCTGGATTTCCCTCCCTGCCTCTTCTTGTCTGCTGAGAGTGCAGGGAACTCTCCTCATTAATTCCACTCACACTTTCCCACCAAGGAGGCAGATCTGCATTTCCACTCCATCTGTGTCACTGGGATGCAGCTGCTGCCTCCGCAGACACCATCGCAGACACCCTCTTCATACCCCTCTCAGCACAGCTGCTCATCGTGCCATTGCTCTGGGAGGGGCAGGAGAAGAGGGCCTGGAATCATGGGATGGGGGAGCCCTCCCTCCTCCCTACACACACAGCGCACAAGCCCTCCCTAGAGCAATAGCTTGCGCATCATCCTCAAGCAGATAATGAGGACATCATCACTCTCAGGAGAACCAGCTTGCCCCAGGGAGAAGCTTGATATTTTCCACAATCAAAGAGAACATCCTCTAAGCCAAAGTGTCTCCCTTTCTGAGACACCTGTCAAATGCTATCTGTTTTCTGAGACTCTTGGCACAGCTGGGCTGCTTAATGAGGCACACACACACCCCTACCGGCATGCTTGATTAAGCAGATTTCACACTGTCACTCCATGCTTAGGTTCCTTATCATCACAGGTGGGGTTGATTGGCTCAGGTGACCTTTCTGCCGCAGCAGCTCTGCCTGGGGTGATGTGCAAGCCCCACAAGGCAGTTGCCAGGCACTCTTCCCCCAGCCACTGCCCTAGTCTTTGTGCCCTAGATCTTGCCTAGCTGATTAAAAGTATCTTACTCTGTTTGCAATCCTGTTCCCACTTAACTGGGAGTAAGCACCATAGAACTCAGTGGGACTTACCTCTGGCTAGAGATGGATAAGATTACACTGCAAGAATTGGGCCTCATAGACTCACTCTTGTGCACTGAACATCGACAGTTTTTTTTTAAGTAATTTTGAGAATTAGATGCATGGCAAAAAAGAAATTAGGGCACCTGAGTACAGAAACATACTTTGCGGAGCCGTAAGGCACCATACAGAGTTGCCATTTTGCAATTGAATATGCTTCAGGTTGGAAGGCAACAGATCTCAGCATGTACATCTGATGCTTAGGCCCTTTGTGGCTTCATGTCTGAACTGCTTCTTGTTAAACTTAAAGTCTGGGGAGGGGAACAAGAGATCAGAATTATACTGAAATCAATAAAATCCTACCGAATGGGGTAACAACATTAATCCTGGCCAGCAGGAACTATGGTATAAAAAGGAAAGCATTCTAAGAAGCTGCAGAAACGGCAACTTTGTTTGTGGTTAGAAAATTTTCTAGGATCAAAACTGGAGAGCAGATAGGCTTCTCCTAAGTAATCTCACACTTGCAAGTGAGATTACTAGAGGGTGGGATGGGCGGAAAGGTGTCAGCTGACACCCCCCCCCCCAGGATAAGGCACTTGCTTAGCTGCTTTGCAAAGCCAATTTATATGACACTGCCTCTGCCCACATGCCTAGCAGGATGAGTGCCACATTGATCATTAGATCTGCAGCTGTTGGCTCGACCCAGCAGTCTCATCTTGCGCTCTTTTGTCAAGGATGATAGGAGTTGTAGTCCAGCAACATTTCCAGGCCCACAGCTTGCTGATCCCTCTTTTGAATCCCAACATGTTTCTCCCCCAGCCTTTGGAGCCACCTTAGGTCTATGCAGATGTATGCAGTTGGAATTGACTAATTAGTTCCTCCATTTTAAAGCTTGCATAATTAATTGGTTTAAGATTCAATCGAGAGACCATGCTTACCAGCAGGGGATTCATTGCCTGTATTCTCATCGTCGGAGTCAGCAAAGACCTCCGCCAGCTCCTGGTCAGACATGTCTGTAAGCTCAGTTAGGTCCAGAAGGTCAAAGTGCACCTCGAGGGAGGAGACACTGCTCAAAGGTTCTGTGGAGACAAGATGTCAGTGAGAACCATGACCGGTTAGGCAGTGTGGGAACAGATGAGAAGGCTCTCTGATAGGGTCAGTTGTCCTGGACTCGGACATGCCCTCCCCACACTGCAGATGGTCTGCAAACTGAGGCCTGAGAGGGAACACTGGCGGGTTAATGGCAGAGGCAAGATTTGAGCCAGGGACTTTCCTGATTCCGTAGCTCAGCCTTTTAGCCTCTGTACTTTAAATGAATGCAAAGTATGCTTCTTATTTGTGGTAAGCTCCCAGATGGGCCTTTCTGCAGCTCCCAGGAGATGCAGCTGTAAGGGAGTCCAGGGTCTCAGGGGGAGTTGCTGAGCTGGGCTAGGGGCCCAGAAAGCTCTTTGCCTTCTCCTACAGTCAGCAGAGAGCCAACTCCTTCCTTCCAGGTTTTACTTACGCCTGCGCTCCGCAACCTGCAGCAACCCGGAAGTGGGGATTGGGATCCCTCCTTCTTCCTCAGCAGGGGGGCTGTGGGGCTCTTCCACCAGTCCATGTATGGGTACAATAATGGGGGCCAGCCGCTCTGGCGTTTGGGCCCCTTTAATCAGCTCTGAAACGACAAAGGGTTGCATCTGCTTACAGGAGACATGGTAGGAGAGCAGAGGGAGAATCACTACCCAGGCCTGATCAGACCCACCCGGCATCAGCATCCCTTTTCAGTTCAGGTGGATACAGTCAGGCTTGGTGGCCAACAGGTAGGAGAGGCCTGTTTCCCATACAAGCCCACCCCCCACCCCCAGTTGGCATGAAGGAAGCTGAGTGGGACTGCCCTTTGTTTCTGCAGCGAATTCTGGGAACAGACCCCTAAACTGACCACCAGCCTGGATGGCTACTAGCCACGATGGTTCTGCCTCCACAGTCTGAGGCTGTAATCCTTCTGAAGACCACTTGCTGGGAACCACAGAAAGGGAGAGTGCTATTGCACTCAGGTTCTGCTTGAGGGTTTCCCACAGGCACATCACTGGCCACTGTGAGAACAGGATGCTGGACTAGATGGGCCACTGGCCTGGTCCTGCAGGTTTTTCTAATGCTTCTCTGTTCTTAAACCCCAGCTCCTTATCCAGGCCACTCCTACAACTTATTCATGGCAGATGAGAAACCAAGGAACAATTTCCATCCCCTGCTTCTACCAAAGCTCAGGTGTTGGGTCACCGTTCAGCTGAGCTACAGCATTCCTCTTTTCTTTGGCTCTCCATTTTTGCATTTCTTCACCCTCCTGTACTGAATTCAGCTGCAGGGATTAATCCAGCCTGCCGCGTCAACCATGTCTAGCTGCAACTTGGCTGTCTCCCGTGTGTGTGTGTGTGTGTGTGTGTGTGTGTGTGTTATCCCCTCCTTGCATCTAGCAGAGACTGGCACCATGTCAAAAACGTCTCCCACGGTTCTTCCACTTAAACTTCAGCTTAAGATATTTGCTGTTGCTCTTCCTGCAGGTTCCTCCTGCGGCCTCACTCCTTAATAGCTTTCTGTTTGACTCCAAGCCCTTAACCAAGCCTCTGCCAACCAAAAGCCTTCCAGATTCATGGGTGGTAAGTCTGTCAGTGGCTCCTAGCCACGATGGCCATGCTCTGCCTCCACAGTCAGAGGCAACCTGCTTCTGAACAGGAGTTGCTGGGAATCAAAGTGAGGAGAGGGCTCTTGGGCTCAGCTCCTGCTTGAGGGTTCCCCACTGGCATCTGGGTAGCTACCATGAGAAAAGGACACCTGGATTTACATCCATACATATAAAATTTCATATGGAAATCTGTGCCCTCTTTTTTAGGTAATTGGAATGCCAGCCTGCAATACCCCTGTGGTCTTTGTCCTCTCATCTTCCCTTCCTATTTCCCTCTTTACGTAGCTCCCGTTCAGGCCAAGCCAAGTCAAACAGATGCACTTCTGTGGGCTCATGGTCTTAGAATCTCATAATTGTAGAGTTGGAAGGGACCCGGAGGATCGTCTGAGTCCCACCCCCTGCAATTCAGGAATAGGCAGCTGTCCTATACTAAGGTTACCAGGTTTTTTAAATGAATCCAGGGATACTTATTGTTTGCTATGTACATGTGAATGCTGAGAAAGCTGTAAATCCGGGGACTGTCCCCGGGAAACGGGGACATCTGGTAACCTTATTCTATACCGGGATCGAACCTGCGGTCTTGGCATTATCAGCACCATGCTCTAACCAACTGAGATATCCAGGTTTCAAAGCATCATTGTGCAGCTTTCTTCTAGGATGGGCACCCCAAAGTGAAAAAGGGAGTAAATGAGCAAAGCTGCACAATCTGCCGCAAGAGGCTCTTTGCAGCTGTGAGGCTGTTAACAAAGGGGCTGTGTTTGCAAAGGCAGACACCTGATACACCCCTCCCTACCCCTTGTTTCCTTCCTTCTCCTTGCCCTTTCTTCTGTTTGCTCAGCCTTGGATGAAGAGCTCATCCAGGAAAGGGGGAGGGAGCCTTATCTCCCCCTTCCCCAGTACTAAGCACCCCCTGTCTCATAACTCTAAAAGGACTCCTAGAGCTACCCAGAGAGGTGTGGGACAAAACAGGAAGAGCAGCAGCTGGCTTTGCCTGAAGAGCGGCAAAGGAAGAAAGGTTGGCACTTTCTCCCAGGGCAACTTACAGATGGGTACCAAGAACCTGGGGCTCCTGCTAAGGAACCAGCTGCTGCTGGGAGTTGCAGTGACAAAAGACTGATCTGTTTGAGAGCAGGCCGGCAGGCAGACCCAGAACAAAGGCTGGTCTGTCAGGAGGAAGGAAGATGCCACCAGAGCTACTGTCCTGACTGAGCCATGGGCTGTGTGTGCTCAGATGTCGCCCCACTGACCCCATACTCCATGGCCATCAGTTTTGTACCCAAAGGGTGGAAGACATGCCAGCAGTCTTGGCTTCTGTATGTGCAGGTAATCTCAGCAATGCAATTGCACAAGAGTCTAGAACAGTCACACAATGAGAGACTCTGAGCCAGCAGCCTTCCCCAACCTGATTCCCTCCAGCTGTTTTGGTGCATGATTCCCATCAGCAGCACTGGCTGGGGATGATGAGAACTGTGGTCCAAAACAGCTGGAGGGCACCAGGCTGGGGAAGGCTGCTGTAGTAAATCCTATTCTTTGGTGTTCCCTGTAGGTCATAGCTCAGGTTTCCCCAGATGCTCTGATGAGATGTTCACTTTGCCCAGTGTTGGCAGCTAAGTCAGGGGCTTGTTGTGGTACACATGACCCTCCCCAGGTGCCAGGACTTTACATGTGTTTCCCCCCCCCCTTTACATCATGGCTGGTGCCAGATAGGCTGTGTCTGCACAGTCCACTCATATAAAGGCTTCAGCTAGAGAGACACAGAAAAGCAGAACCTCCGAGCTTGGGAAATCACTCTCCGCCTCGTCCATTGTGCCAAGGCCACACACAGGCACTGCCCCAGCACCATGCCAGCTATCAGGCAACTGGCACCTTACAACAGGGGCACATGAGCTTTGTGCCACAAATGATTGGCAGGCTGGGTCCTACCCGCTCATTAACAGGCAGGATGTTGGTGCTGTTACCCAGAGCATAAATGCAAATCCCCGCTAGCTAAGCATGCATGTTGATGTGCTGGGAAGACCCATGGTCAACGCTGCTCTCGTTTTTCACATCACTCTCCCCCACAAAACTACCCTCCTCCAGCACTTGTGTCCTGAATTTGAGTCCTTCAGCGTACCCTTACATGATTGCAAGTGTGCGTGTATGTGTGCACTTCCAGAATTTTGCTGTGGCATCACACTGGAAAAACAAAGTGCTTTTTAATTTCCATGCCTCCTCCTCTCATCCACAGATGTGCAGCAGCAGCGCAATGTGCCCAGCAGGAGGAGGGTGGGGGAGTTGGGCATTGATTCCCAATAGAGATGTACTAGCAGCACTGAATGAAGCAAGGGGCAATATTCCCTAATGGACTGGAGCTAAGGGGAAAGGGAGCCCACAGCCCTTGCTTGCTCCAGGGGCAATGAACCTATTAGCATTGAGCAGAGAGAACAAGAAGTCTCCATTTAGCCAGCTCAAAGCAAGGGCAGTGAAAGGGGGGAATTTCAGTGAGAGCAACATCTTCTTTCCCTGAGCTGCTGACAACATTTGGGGTTTGAGAATGCCTCCCAAACTACGTTGTGAGCAATCAAGCCATTGGTCCAAAGCTGCTGCTTCGTCTTCATCTTCTTCTTTGCCAGTTCTGCAGTCAGCATGCTCTGATCTACAGTATTTGATTGGGATGATGGGGCCCTGGGGAATACATGGACTAGTGTGGGTAAAAATCTGGTTCTTTTTTAACCTAAGAGTCATGAAGGGGCTTTGGGGGTGCAGCACTGCCAGCAGGGGTGATGCTCATTTCAAAGGAGGCCCCCAATATCCAAGAGCATCCACTGTCTTTTTCCAACAGTAGAGACAGAACAAACACGCTTTTCTCCTAGCCCAAACAGAGCTGTTTACTTAACTGTGTCTGGATTCTGTCCAAACTCTTTGCATTTCATCCAACCCATTCTACAGGTTGCAGAACTCCTTGCTGAGTCAGAATTCCCTGTTTAACCTGCAGCAGCTCGTGGTGATCAGCAGATTCCACCTTACAAACAGCTCCAGTAGGGAATGCTTTTTTCCTCCAGAAAAGAGAAGTACCGGGGCTATGGTTTGTCTTGAAACCCACCCCCATTGGTTTGTTGATTTTGCTGGTTCATTTTCTGCATGCATATGTAGTCTGCTTTCGTGGTAAAGTGGCCACCAATGCAACTATTTAAAATCATCTTAACAACCAATAAAAACCAATCTAAACAAAATTAAGACAGATGTTTAACCAGCTAAGTATTTGGGGATTTGCTGCATCCCAGTGGTAAACAAAATATACTCTGCACATGTTCAGAGGTGCTGAACATGTTCCTCATTCTGCAGCTGAAACCTGGCATGGGAACCATTTTCTGGGCACATCTGGAATTTTGAGGGAGTGCCAATGCCTCTGATCTCTTCTCTCCCTAGAACAGCCCCCATCCCGAGAGGCAGAAAGAGTGAAAATGCATGCGCACGCACGCGCACGCGCACACACACACGCGCACACACACACGTGTGTTCTGCTTTTCCAAAGGATCTAAATAAAATACATAATCTGAGCCTTGAAAAACACATAGAAGTGAAAGAGGATGTGGGAAAGAGCAACATTCTTCCAACTTCCTCCTTTAGTGCTATAGCTACACACTTTTCAAGGGGGAGAAAGTAGGACCACCCCCCTCACAAATTCATGGGCAATAAGACAGTGAATGGGGGTGGGTAGGCCAAAAGCCTTTGTGGACACCCAAGCAAGACCTCAAGGGTGCCATTGTGCTCATGGGTGCCAAGTTACCAACTCCTGGCTTGTGTATGTGTATTATTATATAGATTCACATGATATTCCAGTCTGGGGGGAAAGGACAACAATTCCCCCCAACTCTTCTTGCTGAGCAGAAGCTGCCAGGATCCTCTTTTCTTTTTTTACAGTATTGACTCATCATTAAGCCTTGGTTTCTTTTTGAAATATCACTGACATGCTTTTGATTGGCTCAAAACAAACACAGTAGCCCAGACTCAGGAGGTCACTAGTAACAGCCACATCTAAATGTCAGATTTATTTTTCTAAAGGAGGGTGTGCAGTGTTAATAAGGAAATTTTTGGGTCATTCCTGCTGTGGGGGTGGGGGGGCAGGAAAGAAGGGAGATGCTGTGTTAAAGGATATTATTTCTGCTTGCTCCCCAATGGAGCACCATAATGCAAAAATCATTCCTTCATAGTGTGTTTCTATCTCTAACAAAAGAGTTTTAGATAAGGTTTTGTATTCTCATGTGCCTGCTGCTTTTATGATCTCTTCTGCTTCCTCTGAAATGAATGCATATCATTCCCCATCTACCCCACCAGTCTCCATCTCCCTTCCCTCCCTCTGTTGCCTCTTCTGTGTCAGAAATGTAGGCTGCAGAGCAGGGGCAGGGACAACCTGCGGCTCTCAGGCTCATTGCAAAAACGCTCTGCAAGCCATCAGTTCAGGCCTCTGACAAGAGGGATCTGTTCCTCCCCTGGCAGTCTGCTGGGTGGAGAGGGAGAGGAAGCAAGAAGAGGGGTGTCAGAAAGAGAGAGGAGAGGTGTCAGAAAAAGACAGGGGGGGGGAGGATGTCAAAAAGACAGAGAGAACAAAGGGTGCCAGAAAGAGACAGTGGTAGGCGGGGAGGGGGAGACAGGGCTGCTGGAGACAGAGAGAGGTGGAGAAGAAGGGGTGCCTAAAAGTGAGAGAGAAAATAGGGAGCAGTGGAAAAAATGGATAGCAAGGAGAGAAAGAAAAGGAGATGTCACTGCCCATTTTTGACCCTGGCCCCACCCACTGCTGTTATCTGTTTTGCCAACCAACAGTATATAAACCCTACAGATCACCCTAGGGAAGGAGGCCCTTGCCTTGAGAGAGAGAGAAAAGTTCCTTGCTGCTCCTGCCAATGAATGCCTGGACTCCTCCTGCTCAATAGATTCCTCACCTATCTGTGCCAATAGGAGGCTGGTCTGCGCCAGCCCTTGTGTGTGTAAAGTGGCCCCCCAGGGCTGGACTCCAGCAGGAGAGGTTCTGCTAACCCCAACTATACTAGAGCCATCCCTGGGTGTCTGATGAAATGCCTCTGGCCAGATCTTGGAATCAGGTTTGAAAATGTGTGCGTGTTTAAATGTTAAAATCATGCCGATGCATTATAAGGCATTAATGTTAAGCATCTGCTTGCCAGATTCAGGAACTGCATCTTTCTTCTGAGGCTCCTAAATCTGACAACATCCCTAACGGAGAATGTTGAGAGGGAATCCAATTAGGAGAATTTGCTGGTGACTGTTGAGTTGGAAGGACTGGAGCTGTCTGGGGAAATTACCTCAGCTGCTCTGCGCTGGTTGCCCCTTCCCCCTGCATCCCCCTCCCCAATCTACGTCCTCCCCACAAAAAGGAGGGAGCCTGCCTACTTCTCTCAACTCCCATAATCTCAGCTCCTCTCCCAGCTGCCTCCTCCAGCATCCTTCCTGCAGCTGAAGGAAGGGGGCTTGGAGGAGTGGGGGGGGGGGGCGTGTGGAGATTCTCACAACTGCTGCTGACTCATATTATGTGAAAGGCGCTCCAAGTCACCGGGCCTGGACTGATGGAAGCTGCGCGTTTGGTACGGGGAATAAACGACTGGCTGCGGATACTCAAAACAAGAGCTGCCAGGAATCAGGCCAGTCAGAGATGGAAGCCTTTCCATAAATGTGTATGGGGTGGAGTGAGGGGAGGAGGAAGGTAGCAGGGGCCTGAATGAAATTCACGCTTTATCTCTCCAATATTATTCAGCACCCCTTCCCGCCCCCTGCTAGTGGCAAAGAGAGTTGGGGTAAAAGGGCAAGGCACGCATCAATCAGCAGCTCAAGCCCTGGGGAGGGTGCTGATTGAGTTTATTCAGCGAAAAGAGGAAAGAACTCTGCACATGCTCAAGGGCGCTCTTGCGCGATGCCTATAATGAAAAACAAGCAAAGCCCGGCGGGGTCCTGGGCCAACTCGCCTCATCCTGAGCCCTTGTGAAGCACAAGGGGGCCCTCGTTGCGGGTTCCGATGCTGGCCTGTCTCAGCATCTTCCCAACGGCAGGGCAGCAGCGAGGAGGCGTTTCCCTCCGGCGGCGGAGAACCTGCCTACCCGCAGGCTTGCCTGGTCAGGGGAAGCTGGTCAGGGCATCGGGCTGCTGGGCTGCCTTTCCTCGCCTGCTGGGCTCCAGATGTGGCACAGGGACGATACCCTCGAGGGGTGCCACAGCTGGGGCAGCTGAGAGACCTTCTGCCTGCTTCTAGGAGGGATAGGGAAGAGATCTTTCTCCAGCCTGGAGCAAAGTGGAGAGGGCGCACACTACTTGCCCTGGGCAAGACCCCTGGAGCTGCTGCCTCCCTCCCGCTCCACGCAAAGCAGCCGGCCAGGCTACTTGCAGCCCCAAGTGCCAAGCAGGCGCCCCGCAAGGCAGCCAGCTCCATCGGTCCCTCCAAGCACGCATCACCCCGGAGCATCTTGCAAAGCGGCAATGGACAAACCTGCCCAAACGCGACTTCGCCACCGCGCCCAAGGCAGCCACACCCTCCCCGGCCCAGAGGTCCAGACTCCACTCCGGGAGCATTCTGGTCACACCCCACTGCGCGGCGCCTCGCCTAAGTTGGGGGCGCGCAGTGGCGATCCGCCCGAGTCACCACCAACTAAGAGCGATGCCCCCCTAGCCACCGGCCTGGTGATCCCTATGATTCGCGGCCGGGAACTAGTCAGTCCACTTGGGGACCCTTCCTGGCCAGCGCGGGGAGGGACAGGATGGCGGCCCCATCCAACTGCCCCCTCGGAGCGTCCGAGGCGCCCTCCTGCCCGTCCGGGCAGCTCCTGCGCAGCAGCGCCCGCTGCAGGCGAGACGGTGCCCCTCACCGCGGCATCGGGGCGGCGGCCCCACTTGCTCCAGTGATCCACCAAGGGAGGGAGCGAGGGCGCCCGCTAGGGCTGCGTCCCCCGTCGCGAGCGGCACACTTACCCGGGGTGGCGGCCCCTCCCGGCCCCTCCATGCGTCCGGGCTGCTGCAGCCGCTGCGTTCGTGCGCTCCTCCGCCTGACGAGCCGTCGCCGCCTCCGCGCGCGCCGCTCTGGTCACTGCACCAGCCGCGCCAGCAGCCCGAGCGCTCATCGCCGGGGAGGAGCAGGAGCGGGCCCGGCCGGCCGGTTCGGGCGGGGGGCGAGGCAGGAAGGCAGGCGCAGCAGAGCAGCGGCGGCCGCGGCAGCCCCCCACCTCGGCCGTCGAGGAGCGCCGCTAGGCACTGGCCGAGGGGAGGGGGAGGCGCGGGGTGCGCGGGAGGCGGCCGTGCCAGCGAGCGAATGGCCCGCCCGCCGGTCCGCACACCACCGGCTCACCCAGCGGGCTGCTGGGCTGACTTGGGCGTTCGGCTCCCTCCGGAACCTTCCCCGACCGCCTCGCGAAATCGGAGCCCTGGAACGTCGAAAAGGCGAGCGCCCCTGAGCACGTGCAGAGTTCCCGGCGCAATCCGCATCCCGCTGAAATCAGGGGAAGAGACCTTCTGGGTGGCAGGCTTGCAGCGGGGCAGCGGGACCCAGGGCCAGGGAGGATCAGAGACAGAGGCCTCCTTCAGAGAGGCGGGGAGAGGGCGCTGCGCGGCCTTCACTCCTTTCTTGTGAGGACCCCGGAAGCAACACAGCCCTTAGTCTGACCCAGAACCATAGCCTTGTTTTGACATTCTTATGGGGAAGTCTGTTGCTAAGAAGGAAAAACCTCCAGTTTCAGGGACAGTCTACCAGAGCATTTCAGTTGCTGGGTGGGGCAACAGCAGAGGAGGACTGGGAGTTGTGGGTTTGAGGGTGGAACGAGGATGATGCCTGGTGGGCATCAGACTGAGCACTGCAAGAAATTCATAGAGAATAAGGCTGTCCAGGACTGATGATGATGGCCGTCTACAGGATCAGATGCAGCTGATAGGAGTCACAGGTGGGGAGACAGCTCCTGTTGTACTTATGTTCCACTTCTGGGCTTCCCATTGGGGCACCTGGCTGGCCACTGTGAGAACAGGATGTGGGAGTAGATGGGCCTTCGGTCTCATCCAGCAAGGTTCCTATTATGAATTTACTGCACCCCCAATAAATCTTTGGGCTCCCTAGGACAGCACCACTTCTCTGTGTAGACATTAAGAACCGTCTGTCTCCCACCAGGCTCAGTATCCCTGGGGAACCAGCAAGCCCAGATAGAGATTGGCTTTTCTTTTTTTTCCTGGAAGAGCCACAGAGAAGCTTCTTTCTCATCAGTCACGCTTTGCACCTCCCATGTCCCCAGCGGGAAGTGGAGGGAAGCTGGCATCTCTGCCAGCTGAGCTGCACTAGGCTTTTATTCCAGTCTCTGGCTACAAAACCTCCATTTTCTTTATCCCACCCCACTCTACTCCACCCCACCCCACCCCCAAGCAAGAGCTTCTAAAAACAGATCCAGGCGCGAATCCAAGCGGAAAGCCCCAATTAAGCAATGCCAACAGGAGAAACCCCCTGGCTGTTGTCTTCCTGGAACAAGGTATCCGTGCAGGACCGAAGCAGAAGGCAGAAGTCTAAACACTGCTCTAGCAGGCTCAGGGTGAAAGCGAATAGTGGGAATCAATGTGCCATAGGCAATGCAGAGCATCCTAAGCTAGGCAACTGGGTCCCAATGTTTCCTGGAATCCAGCCTCTGTCAGAAATCCTTTAGTTCCACCATAGAATAAATACAAATCAAATAACTCAATAAAATAATGGTTGATTAGTTGACCCTGCAGGTGCACTCCGCACACTGTCAGAAGTTCTCTCCACATAGCTGTGTGAAGCAGTAGGTCACCCTTTCTCACTGGTGGGGTCACTTTGCTTGCTTACCCGTTTCCTTCCTTCTCACCACATGAATCTCAAGAAATGTTACTCACTTAGGGTCAAGACCAGCCTCCCCCAGCTTGGATCCTCTAGATATTTTGACCTGCAACTCCTGTCAACTCCAGCCAGCACAGCTGTGCTCCCATCAGCCCCCAGTGTCCTGCAGCTCTGCTGGCTGGAGGTGATGGGAGCTTTAATCCAGGTTTGGAAAGGTTGGCTAATGCAGGAGCTGCATGTTCCTGGCCTCTCTGGGGAGGTCCAAGTGGTCCATCCTGTATACAGTACACAAATAGCTTCTACCATCAGTACCAGAGGGAACAATGCCATGACAGACGACCCCCCCCCAGTGGGCTAGGGGTGCACAGGTGGACAGAGCCTCTTAGCCTGTGCAACCAAGCAATTTAGCTAGAGGATGGGGCTTCTGGGTAATTAACACAAGGCCCTTGGGGTCAAGGCTAAATGTGAGGCCATTGTTTCACCCTTGGAGATTAAAACAAACTTCCAGAGCTCAGCAGGCAAAGCTGAGGAGGCCTGTAATTGGACTCCACCTGCCTCTCCTCTCATTGCCTCTGCCTAAATCACTCATCATCCTGTTTCCTGGCTCAGACACTTTCTGCTCCTCCTCCTGATTCCCCCTACCACCACCTTGGTGATAGCCCCTCCTAATCTCAGATTGCGACTGAGAAACAGGTTACCTAGCGGTTAAAGAAATGTGCTCTGCACATACCCAGAGGCATTTTCCTTGTTCTCAGTGGACATTTTTCTGGGCTGAGCTCCAGCATCCCAGACTCAAATTGGTGGTTACTCAAGAGGGTGTGGGGGCATAAGGCAGGGATGAGGAATCTGTGGCCCTCCAAATGTTTCTGGATTCCAACTCCCATCAGCCCCAGTCACACATAGTCAGTGGATAAAGGCAATCCAAGCAGGAGGTCCCCTAGTTCTAAAGCACAGTTGCAGCAAAATTAGCAATGGGCAAATATTTTCAATAAGCATCTGCAAATGGTCCAGGTAATTCCTTGATCTAAACCTCTAATGTTTTGATACTTGTCCTATTCCTGTCACTGTATTTCGTTGCAGTGGACTGTGATTAAAAGCAATAAAAACGACTTGCTTGCTTGCTTGTTTATACATTTATGCATACTGTGCCATCTTCCATGGTGCCTTGTAGGGTTGCACAGGCGGCGAAGGCAGCTTCCCTGCTCCCACAGAGCTCACCACCTGAAACTGCAAGGAAACCCGCAGAGGTGGCGGAGGGGGTGGGCAGCTGCGCTTGCTAGACCTCAATGAATTCTTATTGCTATTGTCGTCGTCGTAGCCAATTCAGTTATAAGCCTTCCTTGCTTTGCTGCATCACTGGCAAGGTCTGCCTCCACCATTTCCCAGCCCTAGAAGTCCCATAGAGTCCCATAGGGCTTACTCCCAAGTCAGAAGACGGAGCAGTTCAGCTTCCAAAGGCTGCAAGCGAGGATGAGGCTGACAACGGGCAAGGGGTGGGGCTTCTGGGCCTCCGTTGCTAGGGCTGGGGCCCGTTGCCAGGGGCGGGCCCGGCGGAGCCGGAACTCTCGCGAGGCCAGGGCAGCGGTTGCTCGGAGACGCGGCGACTCCGAGCCTGGGCAGCAGCCGGAGAGGGGACTCAGTCGCCACCATGGTGAGGCCGGAAGTGGGGCGCGCTTGTGATGAGGGGGCCCCGGGGGCTCCCCCAAAACCGGGGCGGTGCTGGGGCTCCTGCCCACCAAGAGGCACCGACCTTCCACCCCGGAAGCGCGGGGGCTGGACGTGCTCAGTGACAGACCGAACTCTGCACATGCTCAGGGGCACTCATTCCTTCGTCACTCTTCCTTACGCGTGCCAAGAGTAAGCCCTGATATAAGCCTTGAGCCCTGGTAAGCTCTGCTCTCACCACCACCACCAACCCTTATTTTACAAGTGTGCCTCTTCAGCGCCATGGAGCAATTGCACAGGCAAGTAGGTGCAGGCAGCCAGAACCCATTTGTCCTTTGGAGAGAGGGAGGGATGCGTGGATCCCCTTCCTAGAGAAAACGGCACTTCATCATTGCCCAAAGGGGTTATGAGCATGAATTCACAGCCTTCTTCCTTCCTTTGGCTCCCCACTTCATCCATCATACTAAAGATACTCTCTTCTCTCTTGTCCTCTCCCCCACTACCGCGTTTCTTCAGGCTCCCAAAAAGAAAGGAGAAAAGAAAGGTGGCAAGAAGAAAGGTGCAAAAAGCCCTGTGGTGGATGTCGTCTCCCCGGAGGGCATGACCAAAGAGCAGGTGAGAAGGGGGTCACTTTGCAGTGGCAACAGAGAGGGTACATGCTTAAAAATGTGTGGATGGGAAATAGAAACTACAATGCAAAGTGGTTTCTTGCCAACAAGAGGGAAACCAATCTACCTAGAGTTATTTAGGGGACTCCATTTCCTAGCAGACCCAGGATGATGGGAGTTGTAGTCCAGCAACACCCTGCAGGCCACCCATGTTTCCCACCCCTGGCCTGTATCACATTAGAGAATGCTCAAGGTGTCTCTCATTTTGGAGTGGAGTGATGTATGGGGTGCTTGGCCTACCCTCATTATCTCCGACTTTCCTGGCTAGGAGTAAGACCAAGTGTGAGTCATGCAGTCCCTCAGCTGGCTTGTTGCAGGTACACTCTTTCCATCCCTCTGACACTTCACTACAGCTCTGAGGACCAGCATTGGGAGAAGCCACTATTTTGCCAGGGGTCCATGTTGTTCCTTACTACACCCTTCTGCATTCCATAGGGTAGCAAAACTTGGCACCTCTTCCGTATAGCTAAGCTCACAGTTCCATTTTACAGTTTGGGTACAAGGATTGTGAGAATATTGCACAGGAACAGCCTTCGCCATCCTGATGCCTTCCAGGTGTTTTGGGCTGCATCTCCCATTAACCCCAGTCAGCAAACCCATCAGTGTAGCTGATGGTAGATGACAACCAGCACATCTGGAAGGTACCAGGTTAGCAAAGAGTGCCGTAAACATTCTAAGCTGATTTATCCACTTCCAGAGAGCAACAGACTCATAGAGCCATTCACTCACTTATTTATCATGCATTCTGAAATGAAACAGTTGCACCCTTTCTGGAATTAGCCATGCTTCCCATGCCAATTCACAGGAAAGCCTTGGCTTGAAAAGAAAAAGAAAAAGCTTTGGAATTCACTGAGTCAGAAAAGGCACAATGCCAGTAGTGGCGATGGTGGGCTCCCAGTCCTTCCTCTCGGCTCCAGCCCGACTGTTGGCTGACCCTCTTCTTGGCTTTGCAGCTGGAGGAACACATGGGCCGCATCCGGGAGGAGCTGGACCGTGAGCGGGAAGAACGCAACTACTTCCAGCTGGAGCGAGACAAGATCCACACTTTCTGGGAGATCACTCGGCGGCAGCTGGAT